TTTTTATTTGTACTAGTACAAATAGTAGTAGCTTTGTAAATCTCTATATTTAGTGGTTTAATGGTTAGCCCTGACTATAAGTGGAAGCTTCGGCAACTGCGCTATAGTAATTTACTTTGTTACTATTAAAAAATTATCACTAATAAAGATATGAGCAAGGCCTCACCTTAAAACCAAAAAAAAAAAGATGTAATTGTTATCTAGTTATATTATTTTGTATAATAGTATTCACTAACAGAAAAATTCCATATTATTGCCACACAGTTTATTATTAAAATCATGTAATATGTAAAATTTTTTTTTAAAATTCTTAATTAAAGTTCATTTGATTAAAATTGTTATGCCTAAAATTATATAAAAACAAATTTTTATATTTCAAATTCAATTAAAAAAGATAGTAAAAAATATAGTGTATTTTTTTTGTAACTATAAAAAGTGTATATAGTGTCACTTGATTATTAATAGATTTTAAAGATGTTTGTTAGCCTGATAACTTTGGAATATGGGATCTAAATTTTGGTTTCTTGCTAAAATTAAATCTTATTGGAGTTGAGGTAGATGTTGAATTACTTGAATCTACAAATAATAGTGCAATTAAAATATATTACAAGTAATAAATTAATAATTAGAATAATATATATCCAAAGCTCACAAAATTGTTTTAGCTTATTATTAAGTATAAATATTTCTTTTTCTGTTATTATTTTTGAATCTAAAAAAAACAAATCAAATCAATGAATCTATATAATTTTATAATTAAATAGGATAAAGTCACACAAAGTTGATTTTTATTTTGTATTTCATGGATTTCAAAATTTCTGGTTGTGATTTTTTTTCTTTTTTTCTTATGTCTAAGATCACAAAAGTTAATTTTTCATTTTGTATAACATGGAATCAGAAATTGGATCAGAAGTCAAATTTTTTCTCAGTTCTATTAGATAATTTAGGACAACAAGATCTCTTTTAGGTATACTGGAGCAATTTATGAAAAAAATTAACTGGTAAAAATAGAATAATTGGGTAATTAGGTTTAAAAAAAATTGAGAAATTGAAAAAAATAGGCTGGAGAGTAATGCAAAATAAAAAAAACAACTTTGTATAGCTTAATAATACCAAGATAGTCTTCATAACTCTTTTTAGATTTGTAAAAATTCCATATGTTGTATGGCTTAATAGCTGATATTCTTTCACCTATCATGTATGAGTAGTATGGATATTATAACTTTAGATTCCTTTTGCCTATTCATTTTAACTACATAAAAAATTTGCAAGAAAAGTCTTCAAACTCATAATAGTGTATATCTTTATATCTGTCACCAACTGTAACTATATTGCGATACATTTTTGTGATATATTTAATTGTATTTTGTACTCTCGAGAGTTTAAGAGCTCTAATAAGCCTTCATAGATTGGTAATTTATTATGATATTGAAGTATTAAAGAAAGAGTTAGATTAAAACACAATCGCTCTCTTATCATTATATACCCATCATTTGAATTATCAATGCTTATTATTAATCAAAAGAGTTTATTTTAGCAATCATATAGTTCTGTCAGTGATACTTCATACCTGCCAGATAACAAGAAAATATCCTGACCTTATATAAATAAGTGAAAACTTCATTTCTACTAATTCTCAACAGATCAGAATATTATTATTACATATCTATCTTTATATACAAGTAATAAGACTCACATTATCTATCCTGCAAGATGCAAAATACAGTATAAGCTAATTCTATAAATGTCATAATGATTGACAAAGTATACTACTGTGTAACAATTGCTTTGATCATTACTTAATTATAAACTAAGCTATTATATTGTTACACATCTGAAAGTATAATTGTTAACAATGTTACATTATTTTGCATAACACATACTTTCATAAATTAAAAGAATGTTCATTTACTAAATTTTCCAAATATGTTATTTTAGTACTTAATCAAAAAAATGATCACTTATAGCAAATACTGAAAAGAAATCCCAAGACAAAATAAAAAAAGTGCAATACTAAATATTCTGTTGCATAACTTTAATGAAGAGATATCGCAATATTTAAAGAGCCTTGATAATGTGTTTAGTAAATATGAAAAGTTGAGGTAAATTATAAAATTTATAATTGAAACTTATTGTGAATTATTAGTGGTTATTATTGCAGTACAGTCAATTCTCTCTTAGTGTAATTCGCTAGTCCAGATTTTTAGTAGCTTGTATTTAGGGAACGATTAAGAAAATTGTATTAATAGTAATGAAATATATACTTGGGCCAGAATTTTAAAGTTGTTGCAAGAAACTTTTTTGTTAAAAATGGTTTCATAGATCATGAAATTTGATTAGGCTGATTATATATATAATATGTATACAGTCAAACCCCTCTATAGTCACCTCCTCTATAGTCACAAAATTGGTATAATTATAAATTTATTTTTACCAATTATTTATAACTATATAGAAAATACCTCTATATTAGTCACACCTCTTTACAATCACAGTTTTTTGTATCCCGAAGGTGTGACTATAGAGGGGTCTGACTGTATATTGTATGTAACTACTTGTTAATTAATTAATTAATAGGTTGGCTATAATTGGTTCCTTTCTGAAACAGAAGTTGGCTACATAGATTCTAAAATAGCAACTTTTGTTTTAGAAAACAAACAAATAATAGCGAAATATTGTTATTATGATCATCTGTTACTTTGCTACGTTGTTGACTTGACAACTGAGGATATGCAACAAAATCATCAATCACCTACTTTTATATTTGCTAATAACATGCAATGACTTTTTGAAAGAAAATTAACAACTATTATGACACAGTTGCCAAAAGTTTACTCTAAACTAAACAGTGATCAGGAAAAAGAGATTGATGAAATTATTAAAAAGATGCAGGATGGATTGTTTGTTAATGAATCTGAAATATCAGAACTTGGCTGGATTGTTAAATATCTATATGAGGAATTGTAAGCATGTATATTTGTATTTTTAGTACTGTATTAGTATCATTATTATTTTACTGATTTACATCACGTTAAGATTTCTGTCGAGCTTGCTAAAGGTGAGCTCTTGGAATTTTCGGAATTTTCAGAATTTTCAGAATTTGTACTACGTCGAGACCGTAGTAATGCCGAAAACCTAGATTTTGATTGGCTAACGGCCGTGATCTACAAAATTTTGGCCCGCATTACATAATTGTTTACATAATTTTTGGCCGAAATTAACTTTTAACTTTTTCATTCGAAAATGGAAATTTTAAGAGAAATAGGCCCGCACAATAATAAATTAGCCCAGGAACATTTTTCACTTAATGGGCGGCTGCAGTTTCATTAGTAAAATTTTAAGTAAATTCTGCCCAAATTTTTGATCGCGCTCTTAGCCAATTAAATCAAGAATATACTGTGACAATTTTGATGCAATGTAATGCCAAGGTGGTAATTATCACTTTTACACCGATCATGTGACCTCGATTTGGGTTAGGTCTGATAGGTTAGGCGAAGGCAAGCTGCAAGTAAAATTGCTTTCCCGACATTTTTATTTAATGCCCAAAATAGGCTTAGATAGTCGTTTTTTGTATTTTTTTTTATATTTTTTACTTTTTCACTCCCTTTTTGTTTCGCCGGATTGATCCAGGATGATCATCCTTCGTGTTACCTTTATGCTATACGAAAACGTCCATTATATGATTTATTTGCATTTAAATTGGGTATTAAGTCTGAAATTTTATAGTTAAGTATCTCTGGCCAGAGATGCTTAAAAATACCTTAAATAAAATAGATTAAAAATTTTCATGACAAATATACTTTTTATTAGTCAATATTGACTAGTAACACTACATCACGTGTTATGGTAGTAAGATTTATTATAGGTAGATAATCACTATATTAAAATATTTAAAACTACCAACTATAATAATATTAGAACTCTAATAATAAATAGAAACATGCTTAAAAATAGAAACATGCTTAAAAATAAAAAAAAAACATGCATAAAAATAGAAACATGCATAAAAATAATATCTATTGAAAGTAATTCGTATTAAAAATTTTTGCTATTAATGATAATGATTTTAGAATATAAACTCAATAAATTAACTATTTTCATTATAAATCCAAATACTTTTATAGAAAATACACTTACATTATTTAATTGTATTAGTGTATAACACCAACTGCAATGTCAATGTTTCAAAATTATTTTTCTAGAAAAATTCAAGAATAATGAATTAATATATATGCGACTATAAGAACTATACTATAAATCAATTTTATACTTACTGCCTAATAATTATATTTATATAACATATAGTTGTAATTAATTGGAAAATTTTTATTTAATTATAGATTGCTATAAATTGTTTATTTTATAAATTAATTTTATACTCACCGGCTAATAATTTAATATAAATAATTAATTAAAAGAGTTTTATTTAATTAATATAGATTGTTATAAAATTTTTAATTAATAAATTAAGTTTATACTCACGTTCTAATAATTTCATGGCATAATTAATTAGAAAAGGATTATATAGATTGTTATAAAATTTTTAATTTATAAATTAATTTTATACTCACCGGCTAATAATTTAATATAAATAATTAATTAAAAGGGTTTTATTTAATTAATATAGATTGTTATAAAATTTTAATTTATAAATCAATTTTATACTCACGATCTAATAATAAAATATACATAATTGGTTAGAGAAGTTTTATTTAATTAATATAGATTGTTATAAAATTTTTAATTTATAAATTAATTTTATACTTACGAGCTAATAATAAAATATGCATAATTAGTTAGAGAAGTTTTATTTCATTATAGCTTGCTATAAATTTTATTTTATAAATTAATTTTATACCCACCGCCTAATAATTATATTTATATGATATATAGTCGTAATTAATTGGAAAAATTTTATTTAATTATAGATTGCTATAAATTTTTTAATTTATAAATTAATTTATACTCACCGGCTAATAGTTTAATATACATAATAAATTAGAAAAGGTTTAGTTAATTATAGATTATTGTAAAATTTTTAATTAATAAATTAAGTTTATACTCACGTTCTAATAATTTAATGGCATAATTAATTAGAAAAGGATTATTTAATTATAAATTGTTAAACATTTTTAATTTATAAATTAATTTTATACTCACTAACTAATAATTTAGTATACATAATCAATTAGAGAAGGTTTATTTAATTATAGATTATTATAAAAATTTTAATTAATAAATTAATTTTATACTCACGAACTAATAATTTAATGGCATAATTAATTAGAAAGGATTATTTAATTATAAATTGTTAAACATTTTTAATTTATAAATTAATTTTATACTCACAGCCTAATAATTTAAGGTAAATAATTTATTAGAGAAGTTTTAATTATTAATTGTTACGGAAGATCGTGAATTTGATGATGGTGAAATTTGGATTTATTTTATGTACGATTTATAAAGTTTTTTTTGGCCTTTTTTGTCGGCTTTTTTTTTATAGTTAAGTTAGGATTTAGGGTTATAATTATTAGTAAAATAGTATATATGGATTTTGGTAGGGCTTATATTTTTAAATCGAGACGTTTAAATATCACCATCATCCGATTTCACGATCATCCGCGATATTAATCATTATGAAGTTTTCAATTTAATTTATAAAATTAATTTTATACTCACCGGCTAATAATTTAATATACATAATTAATTAAAGGAGTTTTATTTAATTATAGATTGTTAAAAATTTTTAATTTATAAATTAATTTTATACTCACGAACTATATATACACAATTAATTAGGGAGTTTTATTTAATTATAGATTGTTATAATTAATTAGAGAAGTTTTAATAATTAATTATTATAAGTTTTCAATTTGTAAATTTTTTAATTTATAAATAAAAACTTTAATGTATAAATTTATTTTATACTCACCGCCTATTCATTATATTATATAATATATTATTGTAAATAGTTAGAAAAGCTTTAGTTAATTATAGATTGTTATAAAATTTTTAATTTATAAATTAATTTTATACGCACCTTCTAATACTTTTAATGTACATAATTAATTAGAAAAGTTTAATAATTAATTATAGATTATTATAAAATTTTAATTTATCAATTTTATACTCACCGGCTAATAATTTTAATGTACATAATTATTTAGAGAAGTTATATTTAATTATAGATTATTATAAAATTTTAATTTATCAATTTTATACTCACCGTCTAATAATTTATATAAAATTAATAAATCAGAGAAGTTTTATTTAATAATAGATTGTTAGTAATGAAATTAATCATTAAAAGCTTCATTTTTATAAAATCTGAAACTATACTTTGACGTTTGTCCAGATGCTTAGCAGGCATAGTAAAGGCAGGGTTGATAATAATTGAAATAAAAATTAAGGCGGCAACAAATAAATAAAATCTTGGCGACATTTTTTTAGGCTTATTTTTTTCCGATTAAGGAGGAAGTATTGAGGAGAAAGTATTAAGTAGAACGCAAAGGAAAAAAGAGCAAACGTACGTACTATATATTTATAATTTTCTCGATGCATATAACTGAATATCATGTGCTGTGCAATATTACAATGCATAATCCCAATTTACGCAACTCTCTTAATGGTTTCTCTCTAAATGCAAGTCTAATTAGTCACATAAATTATCCTGCAAAATGATATACCGGTAATAGTTCCCTAAACACGCTTAATAATTGATTTTTATACCTTAATACATTGCACATAGAGTTTACCAATTAATAGTACCTCGGTAATCATTTAATTACCAGATTTTATGACAATGTGATGCAGATTGTAAATCATTTAATTACCAGATTTTATGACAATGCGATGCAGGTCGTAAATTATACCGGGAATAGAGTGATGCATAAATAACACAAGTGTGTGGTTATATGGCATTTTTAATGGTGTATGTCCGCAAAGTCTTATAACTAATTTAAGAAGCGTGAAAAATTGTGCTTAAATTTCACATCTTGCATCGTATGGCTGTGTATTTATGTTTAGGATTAGTGTGTTAGATGCGTGTTTCTAAATTTGAATATTGTACAGGTTTTGTCTTGATTTTTTTATCATACTTTTAATCGTTCTATTGTATTTTGAGCTTGTGCTGACCGAAGATTTATTTGGCTTTCTTGACAAAAAATATAGCAAGAATTCATTCATTATTAAAGCATGTATTGTAAATTTTAGGTTAGTCTCGATTACGATCATTTAATAATGTTATTTTATTGGTGCTTTCTGTTCTATTTTTGAATTTGCACTAACCAATTATGTGCATTTTTTTTATCGGTAACAAAGTTCGCGAAAAAAACCATTTTTTTGATTTTTTACTGTATTGAGTACTTAGTACACATGCCGTAAGAACTATTACAGCATAGTTTCTACCTATGTCTTGGCATTCGGCATTGCCTAAAGCCGAAATTTATGCTAAAACTAATAGCCAATACCTAAAGCCAAAATTAATACCGCAAGTGCAAAAAGCCAAAGATATAGCATTAATGCCGCAAGTGCCAAAAACCTAAAATATAGCCAAATTGATCACATTATTATATATAAAAGTATCATTCGTTATATCAGTTAAATAAATTTATAAAATTTATGTATAAAAAATATCAATCGTTATATCGGTCAAATAAATTTATAAAAAAATATTATTACCAATAATTATTACGTCATTTTAAAATTCATTAATTTAAACTATGAATTCGGCTTCTTCAGCTTCATAGATTTTATTACTCCTTCATAAGATGGAAGATTTCCAAAAGAAGTGCGAAATTATATTGTAAAAGGCCAGGCTAAAGATCGTGGTCATTATAGTGTAAAATGTAAATGTGGTAAAATCTTGAATACATGAAAAGCAAAAAGAATTAGAAAATCAATTGACTGCTGAATGTCCAAAAGCTGATATTGAAACTAGACAAAAATTTCTTCGAATCGTAGCTGTTTTAATATTTAAATATTGGTCATAAAATACTGTATCGTAAACATAAATAAATACAGTAGATATAAAATATTTTTTAGTTTGCTGAAATGTATTTATATTTATATTAACTATGTAATTCCAACTAACAATTCCGAGATTCATAATGTTTCCATGACGTAAAAAAATAACTACCTAAATGTCTGCAACTATAGTTGTAATTAGGGATGTTATCCTGCTTGCCTGAACTCAGTTCGGCTCCTGTTTGAGCCCGAACCCAATGGAACTTGAGTTTTTGCGGCCACATAATTTTCATTATCCGTCAGATTACTATGATCGGACTGCTAAATAACGGGTTATTTTGCAGAAAAAAGTTTATTTTGGTTATTTGGCAAAAATTGATAGTTTATTTTGGTCATTTGGCAGAAATTGATAGTTTATTTTGGTTATTTAGCAGAAATTGATAGTTTATTTTGATTATTAGGCAAAATTGGATATGTACGTACGTACGTATGTAGT